AGCTTGATGGAAGCAGTGAGACACTCTTCTATAATATTGAGACTGAACGACTAGCATTAACTATAAAGGCGCATTCTCACGACTCGTCTACTTGGCAAGTATTTTTTATTGGCATACAGGGTCTAGCGGGAATGCGGCGTAGTTCCTATAATAAATAACACAGAAATTCTGCATAGATGCCCGACGCCCCATGTATACCAATTACAAATGGTTGTCAAGTACACGAGTCGTGAGAATGCGCCATAAGACTTTTGGAAAAGTGGGATTCTTACATTATTCTCGGACTTCCTCATGTATTTGACGCTATAATAGAAACTTTGAAATATTATTTGAAGGTATTATTAATTAAACTAATAACATTATTTTAAAATAAATTTATTTTCGAGAAACTATACATTTGTTCAAATTCGCTACCTGGTGATCTAGAAAACATAACGATTATCTTCCTGAACGACTTAATTTTTTGATTTACTGCTAGGGACTCCACTAGCTACAAGTGCAATTTTCTAGTGTAGCAGATACATTAGTAGGTATAGCAGGTCAATGAATAAGGTAATTGTACCAGGATAACATATGGATAATAGATATAGATATTACCTATAACTATTTTATGTCTGTTATTAAATATATTCGGAACTTATAGTTATTAAAACCTTCGAAAAAAGAGGTTCAGTAGAAGATATCTACACAGTAATATTAAAATTGCAAAGGAAAATAAAATTTCGATAACACAAGAAAAGTTTAACAATCAATCTGAAAACAAATCCTATATTAATTTCTAGTCCTATTAAATCTATATGATAAAAATTTGATTTCAAATACTTAAGGCGACACCGTAGTCAAGGCAAGACTGAGCTCTGCCCGGGGCAACCGATCTCATTTTCCCACCGGTTCCCGCTCTTGACAACGAACCTTCTTGATAAAAATTTGTTTAGAATGCAATAATTTATTAAACGCCGCTAACACGGCCAAACTGACCTGTATTTCGCTCTCGAAATACCCTCTTGTGTTCGCTTTTTTTTCATATGATTATATGCTCATAATCATCATTACTTAAATAAATCAAATACACAATACAATAGCTCAAATAAAATAATTATTATGCTCCTTCAGATAATCAGAATCCGCCTGGCAAAAACAATTATCACGCTCTTTCGGATAATCAGAATCCGCCTGACAAAATCAAAATAACTCTCATGCTCTTTCGGATAATCAGAATCCGCCTGGCAAAATCAAAATAACTCAAATAAAATAATTATCATGCTCCTTCGGATAATCAAAATCCGCCTGGCAAAATAAAAATAACTATCATGCTCTTTCGGATAATCAGAATCCGCCTGGCAAAATTAAAATAACTCAAATAAAATAATTATCATGCTCCTTCGGATAATCAGAATCCGCCTGGCAAAATAAAAATAACTATCATGCTCTTTCGGATAATCAGAATCCGCCTGGCAAAGTAAAAATAACTATCATGCTCTTTCGGATAATCAGAATCCGCCTGGCAAAATAAAAATAACTATCATGCTCTTTCGGATAATCAGAATCCGCCTGGCAAAATCAAAATAACTATCATGCTCTTTCGGATAATCAGAATCCGCCTGGCAAAATTAAAATAACTCAAATAAAATAATTATCATGCTCCTTCGGATAATCAGAATCCGCCTGGCAATAATAATTATCATGCTCTTTCGGATAATCAGAATCCGCCTGGCAAAATAAAAATAACTATCATGCTCTTTCGGATAATCAGAATCCGCCTGGCAAAATTAAAATAACTATCATGCTCTTTCGGATAATCAGAATCCGCCTGGCAAAATTAAAATAACTCAAATAAAATAATTATCATGCTCCTTCGGATAATCAGAATCCGCCTGGCAATAATAATTATCATGCTCTTTCGGATAATCAGAATCCGCCTGGCAAAATAAAAATAACTATCATGCTCTTTCGGATAATCAGAATCCGCCTGGCAAAATAAAAATAACTATCATGCTCTTTCGGATAATCAGAATCCGCCTGGCAAAATAAAAATAACTATCATGCTCTTTCGGATAATCAGAATCCGCCTGGCAAAATCAAAATAACTATCATGCTCTTTCGGATAATCAGAATCCGCCTGGCAAAATTAAAATAACTCAAATAAAATAATTATCATGCTCCTTCGGATAATCAGAATCCGCCTGGCAATAATAATTATCATGCTCTTTCGGATAATCAGAATCCGCCTGGCAAAATTAAAATAACTCAAATAAAATATTTATCATGCTCCTTCGGATAATCAGAATCCGCCTGGCAAAATAAAAATAACAAAACATAAAATAATTAAAAAAAAACGCTAACACTGCGCCATCCCTTAACCTACCGCCACTTTCATCCGAATCTAACATATTATCCGACCATTCGCCTGCCCATTACGGTCTTTTGGAACTACTAATGGACCACGTTTGAATTTTCGGTTTTTCACTCTGTATCTGTGACCTGTTTTTTTTTATAAGGCCCTCTAAACTACGGCTCTAGCTTGGCTGCTTTTGCTTTGGTTTTAGGAATAATCGTTCAATTCAAAAAGCAAATTGTTTGTCTTTTTTTTTTTCAAATTTTTTTTTTTGTATCGAGCTTGTCCATCCTGACACTTTGTTGACCTCAACGACCTCGACCGCTCAAAAATATTGGTAATTCGATTTTCTTTTTTTTTAAAATACTCAAAATTTCCAAGGCAATGTCAATACCAAAGCCCTGTCCAACAAAACAATTACACGACCAAACACTATATTGTGCTTTTAATAATCCTACGGAACAACATGAAACATAATCTTCAATTGATGATCATTCATTTTAACTTTAGTTAACATATGCAAACAATAACCAAAGTTTACAGATTTCAAACAGTCATATTTTACAGAAATTCTGTAAACCTTAATACCATTCACAAATGCCTTTCAAAAGAATTTTAAAATTTTGCAAATTCCCTAAATCATTGCTCTCGTCATTGCTTGAAAATCCCCTAGAATTCTCTGACTTACGGGTATAACAATCTCCGAATAATTAGCGCCATATTATCAATAACATCAATAGTTAGAACAGTTTGCCTTCGTTAGAACCCTTGTTTATTTCAAATATTGAGTCAATAATTTTTATTATTAATGAATCAATAAACTCTCAACTAACAATAAACAATTTAAAAATAATATTATTAATAAAAATACTGTTTCAAAAATCATTATCATATTTATCACAACTCATACTCCACCAGCCAGCCATTCCAACACCATGAAATATTTCCCTTTCCCTAGACGATCCAACAGATCATCAATCAGAAGTAATGGGTACCGTTGTTTTATGGTGTTTTTATTGAAAACCCTGACATCACCAACAAAGCCTATCACTACCATTTTACTTTTTTTTTCAAGAATTACTGGACTAGCAAAACTTGATTTGTTTTCTTGAATAATATTATTTTTCGTAAGGTCTCGTATGATAAAACGTAATCTTTCTCTCTCTGAAAGTGAAAGTCAATATGGATTAGAGATGTTCGACACACCTTGAAGCATCGATACTTTGGCCGGTGCTTTGGCATTCGACACATCGACGTCTCGACACTTCCGCTCACGATCTGCATCGATACCAAACATCGATACTCCTAGAGCATCGGAACATCTCTAATATGGATGATAATTTACCACGGCTGACTCATTTTCTAAATCAATTGATAATTCAACTGTTTTTATACAATGAACAGCGTTCCCTGTCGTAATCTTATCTTCATATTTCTTAAACAGTTCGTAAAGTTTTAAACGGTCGCGTCGGCTTCTTTCAGAGGCCCTGTTATCAAATTACTTAAGTGTGGACTGTTAGACAAAACATAAACACTGGGAGTTTCGAAGGTTTTTCGCGCGAATCGAGTTCCAGTGGCGTCGGTTATAATTTCTATGTCAATTAAATGTTGAACAATAAGTCAAATTGCACAACATTTTTACCAATATTAGCATCATACTCCAAATCGTCATTATTTACTATGAAAAACATTAATTCAATTGAAGTATGCTCAAACTCTACAGTTACCACCCTTTTGCAAACCTGATGATAACGTTATTAATTCACTTAGAGTTTTTTTTTTAAATTACTATTTTTTTTTTCAGTGCCTCCATTTTAACAGAAATTTTCCGAATATATCCAATTACAAACTCAACTAACTCCTGATTAGAAAATTAATTTTGGTACCTTTTATAAACAGCAACTTCTCCCATGCATACTTACAATACAAAGCATACGAATCACTAGTTAGATTAACTGGTTTTTTTTTAGATTTCTTTTGGTTGAAACAGTTCCTTAATTGCTGAATTAAGTATCCAAATCCGTTGTTCAGGGTCCCGATTTTCAAACCAATGGGTCTCCTGACCAATGAGCCATCCCAAACCAATGAGCATCTCCACTTAAAACTTTTTGCACGTGCCACTAACTCACGCTCCTGCCATTTAAAGTCCTGTTCAAATTGTTCGATTTCACTACACATCAATAGCGCCAGAATCCGCACGTGTTGTTTAAAAAAAATGAAAATACCACATTTTCATTTGCACGCCCCTGCGTCGCGGCGCCTAGGAACCCTTGAGATTAATGGAAAAATATTTCGCATTAACTCCGCGCGTCGCTGATATATTCTTTGATTGTGCCGACGCCGACATGTTATTAGTCTGTGGTTGTACCGACGCCGACGCTTCATTATTCAGTGGTTGTGGGCGAATCTCCACTTCCGATGATAAAAATTTGATTTCAAATACTTAAGGCGACACCGTAGTCAAGGCAAGACTGAGCTCTGCCCGGGGCAACCGATCTCATTTTCCCACCGGTTCCCGCTCTTGACAACGAACCTTCTTGATAAAAATTTGTTTAGAATGCAATAATTTATTAAACGCCGCTAACATATACCATCCCGGACAGTTCATCTGTGTGGTCTGTATTTTAACGCATGCGAGAGATAAATATAAATGGCCGGTTGACAGACAGAGACAGAATAAAGACCAGCATACTAGAGATGAGCAAAATTATTATTTTTACTTCATTGTACAATTATTGTACACCGACCATAATGAGTAACTGAGTATGAACTTTTCTTAATGTGACGAGCGCACTGGTGTGACGAAAGCACTGGTACATCTAACTTAATCACTATTTTCCTGAGTAGATTCGACTGATGTATTGCTAGGAGGTCTCCTAGGAAGGTAACTGTTGCCTGACATAGCACTGGAAGGGCCACTTGGGATACGTACGGTATTTGTGGAAGAGGCACCTGCAGGATAGATAGTGGTTCCTGAATATGGCTTACTTGCTTTTCGCGAACGTTGTAGTGCGATTGATGTTTCTCGAGGAGGATAATCGTACATTCCTAGGCCCGCTTCCAGCAATATGGTCTGTATCTTGTGCGTGACGATACACCGACCATAACGAGTAGGCATTTGCCTCACTTTCATTTCTACTTCTTGTCCTAACAAAGAAAATACGTCGCATTTTTTCTTATTCTCGTATATATCTCTAAACATTTTCAAAGCTTCAGCCTCCATATCATCAGGAAGTGTATCTTGATGTTGACAAGTATTACTACGTTCGCCAAGTTTTTGTTTTTTACGCCCCGTGTTACTGAAAAGCTCGGTAGAAGGTCTCTCTTCTGCTATATATGGTTCTGAATCTTCATTTTCAATGTTATTTAATGGAACATCGTTCGTCTGAGAATCTTCCAGGGATATGTTCTCAGGACTTGCCGGATTTGTGTTGATCTGAATCTGAAAATAAAAAATACATATTATAATAATCGCACTGGATAAACAACCGCTTTAGGTTGACAAAAATCGAAATTAGAAATATTTATTTTCGTATGTTCATCCATTGTTAGCCTTGCACAAACGTGGAGCGCAAAAGAGTAAAAACCCTCGGTATTTTTTTTACTTTATTCGATAGAAAATGACACTCTGAATCGAATGACATATCATATGTCAACTTTTGATATTTTGGCGTATAGTTTATTTGAAATTGCAACATGCGGTTCATAACGACAATTTGACTCAAAATACCAAGTGTGTGGTATCAAATTATTCGTAAAAGAATGCTTTTTCCAAATATGCTAATGAGCCACCCTCGTTCCATTTGAAAAATTTGAGATATGATTAAAAATACGATTGGCCCACCCTGTATTTTTTCTTACATATCCGGTAGACAAAACTATGGTGATAATGCCATTGGCTATGTTCAGTTAAGACAACAGCAGTCACTATGCGAAGAATGGCAAAAATTACACCTGAACACAAAATTAATGCAAAAAAAATTACAATATGCAATGCATTATAAATACTGCTGAAAATGCAAGTGTAATACCAGCCTTTAAAAATGTTTAATGTCATTTAATTGGCCAAAGATTTAAATAAGTACTCTTTGATTCCTCATCAATTTTTTTTTTTGATTTTGAGCACCTATTTTTTTATTTTTTTTTTAATATTTCAGTGATAACCCACATGCACGTCTCTGGTGAATCTGTCGACACTTTTTTACTACTAAAATAGTAGCACTTATAGTAATTTTCACCATCAAAATTTTATTCAAATCAATTTAAAAAATTTTAATAAACCCAAAAAAAAATAAAACTTTAAACTCCCATAGCTACGAAACAAAGCAGATTCGGAATTTCGTTGATATAAAAACTAAATCTTATTTTTATGTCAGAAATCTCCCCATGAGAGATGGCACATGTTTTTTGAAACCTGCTGTATGTTTGCCATATATCAAAAACTAAACGATAGATTTTAAAGGCAGGCGGCCACTGCGAGCGTAACTAAACTAAGCTAAGAATATAAAAACAAACGGTAACTAAACGAAAATAAGTTTCATCAGCCACTGGGAACGATTTTCGCTCAGTAGTCAGCTAAGTTAGCTGCGTTTTCGTATTGTTTTGGTATTGTGTCTCTTCTATCATAGAACTAATCGCTGCGAAAAAATCGCTGGAACCTGTCACGAACTAAAACGAGCGAAACTAAACTACGATTTGAATCTTCGTTCATATATTTTCGTTTAGTTTCGCTCAAGTGGCCGCCCGCCTTTTATTTGATATCAAAATTATCAATTAAACTTTTAGTTACGTAATCGAGGGCGCCATTTTAAATTGTTGCCAACCATGGACATATTCGGCGCCTTGCTGACTAATTTGGAATTTAAATTTCCCGCTGGGGATTCAGATGGTAGCTCTGCTATAAAAAACGTCAAGTTGTCACATTTATTTATTTATTTCCTGATATTGCCTTTTGTTTTGACACTTTAGTTTGGTGTAAATAAATAGTGTTGTGATACTTTAAGCTTAAAAATGCTTTACTAGCAGACCTTGCAGTCGAACACTGTTCTTATGTTCTTTTTAGAACATCTTTTAGTGGAAAGTGTACAAGATAACTTAACAGCCGTAAAAAACTGGCTCAGATGGCAGACGGCCCAGATGTTACGGCGCTATATGATACTATATCCAGTGACTTACGCACCGTTAAATCTTGGTGCGATTCTAATCTCCTATGCCTCAACCTTTCAAAAACTAAAGTTTTGTCATATAAAAGTACTATACAACCTTTTGTACTTAATAACACCACTATTGACGTCGTGGACTCTGTGAGATTCTTAGGACTTGTGGACAACTCGTTAAAATGGGACTTGCACATCGAAGCCTTATCAAAGAAACTAAGCTCTGCCTGTTTTGCGCTAAGATCAGTGTCAGGAACTTAACTCATCAACCTCTAGAATGGTCTATTATGCCCTTTTTGAGTCGCATCTTCGTTATGCCCTTCCATTCTGGGGTACTTGCTGCGCGACAAAATTTGATCGTATTTTCAAACTTCAAAAGAGAGCAGTTCGATACTTATTGGGACTAAACAGTAGAACTCACTGCCAGAATTTCTTTAAAAATTTCAAAATACTGACTCTTCCTTCCTTATTCATTTTTGAATCCGTTTGCTTAATCTGCAAGCACATATTCTCTATTCCGGAAAGGCCTTCTCACAACTATCCACTTAGGAATGCGGAGCACGATATTTATCTGCCAACCCCGAGCTCAGAACTAGTTAAGGGCTCAATACTGTACAATGCCAAGAAAATGTACAATCATTTGCCTTCGAATATCAAGTCACTTTCAATCTTTCCCGCATTTCGCAAAGCTCTGAAATCATACTTACTGGAGAGAGCCCTATATGCGGTCAACGACTTTTTGTTGATGTTTAATCATGAACAATTTAGAATTTTAATTTTAATATTTTGATACTCTCACACACTGGTTAAAGGTCTAGTATTTAATATTTTATAACTCTTGTTTTTATGTTATTATAACATGATTTTATCCATTTACAGTTTTTGCTTTTGTAAAATTTTCTAGATACGCCTGTGTTCTGCAATGTCCATATATGTTTTATTTGTAATTTTATGACGTAAATTTTTTTTTGAATTGATTTGTATTGTATGACATTTTTTTTTATTATTTGTATATTTGTTTTTGTGCTTTTTTTGTTTTGCTTTATCGATGAAGCTGTTTTGGCTTTTTGTACAATAAAGCGTTGTTTTTTTTTTTTAAACTCATCGCAACTGTATTATAATATTTTGAACGGGAAAGCGGTAGTAATGGTCCTTTACGAGCCCTAACAACTATATGTTGGGACAAGGTCTTTTTTTGCAATAAAAATAGTAATTTGTTAAAACGACTCAATTTATTTTGTTTATTATTCTAAATTCAAACATTACAATATTATCTAGACAATTTTACTATATTTTTATAACTTTGCAAACAAATCACTATTGATAATAGCTTATTTTGCCAAAATCAAGCCAAATTTGCTGACAACTATATATTGGGACAGCACAACAAGAAATTTGTTTAATACGGAGTTACATCACCATTCGCCTTAACAACTGCCTGAATTCTTAATGGCATTGTATTTACCAAAGATTGGCACATTTGAGGAGAAAAATTATCCCAAATTTCCTGCAGTTTTGAACGCAAATCAAAAAGTGTTCGTTGAGGGTGGTTTCTTAAATATTGCTTCATTTTATGGCCACACAGTTTCTATAACATTGAGGTCCAGACTACTTGCAGGATGGGATAGAACTTTTATATTATTATTACCGAACCAATTTTTAGTTGATTTTGCTGAATGGCACGATGCTCCATCTTGTTGGAAAATATAGTCTTCGTTTGGAAACAATTCTTGAGCACTAGGCAAAAGTGAGGTCTCAAGTATATGTTTATATTTTTGGGCGTTAACAGTGCCATCTATAAAATTTAATTTCCCAAACCTCTTGCTGACATGCAATCCCAAACCATAATCCCTTTAGGAAATTTAACAACCCTCTTTATGAAAGGCTTCTGCTTTATTTCGTATTATTCGTTTTCGATGATCTCCAACGCAAACATCAAATTTAGACTCATCGCTAAATATGACCTTATTCCAATTATTTTGTGTCCACGATAATTTAGATTTTGCCCAATTGTAGCGATTTTTCTTTTGAATTTCTGTCAGTAGCGGTTTTTCTTGGGCCTAAATAAGAATTTGTATCAATAATCTTCAGATAATTGATTATCCACACAAAATAAAGTTTACCTTGTAAAACCCCAGACCGCATTTATGGATATATTTTCGGCAACATTCTCTTGATATTTTTAAACCAGTTACAGTATTCCATTTAACTGTTACTTCGAGAAGAGTACTTCTCACAGACTTGCAAATTTTTACTAAATTTCGTAAATCTCTCTGAGATACAACTTTTGGCCTTCCCGAACTTTTACCTCTAACGTCTACATTGGCAGATTCGCCGTATTTTTTTATTATATTAAAGACCGTGGTTTTTGGAATACTTAAATCATCAGAAATTTTTCAAATTGTTTTTCCCGTACTGTATTGACGAATGATAATTTCGTGTAGTTTTTGATTTGTAGCTTTTCCACGGACCATTACTTTGAATTAAATTAACAAAATTGAAAATTAAAAAAATTAAAATTACTTACAGTAAATCTCACTACTCAAAGTATCGAGTCACTTACAAACTGTCAATGCTGAAGTAAACAGTTTGCGACATTTGCAACGTTTATAGCAAAGCCGCCTATGATGATATTAATTATTTAAAAATGCTTGTCCCAACATTTAGTTGTCAGCAAATGTGTCCCTTTTATGAACAAAATCCGCTACTGTAAATATCTTATTCAAAGGTAAATATGGATTGATTAATTCATAAAAATATTGTGAAGTTGTTTAGGATATATGGCTATGTTTATATTTAAAAAATTAAACATATATTTTTCAGTCATTTTGAAAAACCAGGGCAATAATTCCAAAATATGACCTTGTCCCAACATATAGTTGTTAGGGCTCGTATGTCCCTTAAGTGCTGTTAGGAAGGTGAGTTTTGTTGATGTAAATAATAACTGTTTATAAATTGATACCTATCTAATTAATTTATTTTTGTTTCCTAAAATATTTTGATTAAAAGAAAATATATAAAAGTTGGCAACGCCGTGCCGGTCAAGCTTAATCACGTGACTAAAAGTTTATTTGGTATGAACTGTATGAAATAGAATAGTTTTACTTACCTGAGAATTATCCACACTTTCACGTGGTGTATTTTTATCATTCAAAAATAACAAATACTTATAAGCGAACCATTTTGGCTTGTTAACTTCCAGGCACCCAGAATTAGCTTGTTTAGTTTTAATTTTTTTCTTTTCTTTGTAGAACTGACTAGTAATATTTTTTATTTTGCGTTCGATTTCCGACTTTTCAATTTGCATAGCTTCAGATATTGACATCATCGAATCGTACCGCCTATTTCTGTTTTTGTATAGTTCATGTTTCGGGTTCCATAAATTGATTTGTTTACGGTAAAGTTTAATCAACGATATGACTTGTTTTTGACTCCACTCCGGTTCTAAACTGTTATTTAAGAGGGTTCTTTCTTCCTCGTCCATTTCTTAAAGGAAACCGCCAACGCTTGACTGTACTAAAGGACGGTCACTGTATAACTGAACCTTAAAACTGGTCGTCGGTTGCTCGGTATTTGTTTGATCTCTGCCGAGGCCGCAAACATTTCCAGCCGGGCGAGCCCAGCCGCCGGCTTTTGGTTGCCATGCGATTTAATTTCAGCAGTGTTGCCGAACATTTATCTTACTACGGCGTTGTGACGGCGTGCTCGAAGTTCCGCTACATGCAGGGCTGCCAGATTTTACATTAAATCTCACGATACGAGCGCAGGTTTTCACGATTTTTAAGATTTACCAATTAAGAATTACTAGTATCAGGAATATGTGAAAATATCTCAGTAAATAGACAGCAAAGTTATTGGTGCTGAATTAAATGTTCTAAATAATGCATTAAAAATGTTCTTGATTTTTCCGGTTATAAACATTGCTGTACAGGGTGAGTCAACGATAGAATGTTCTTATTGATGAATCTTATTTGTTTCGAGGTTTACAAAATTTTTTTTAAATATAAATGTTATAGGGAAGGTTAAGATACACATTTTAAAATTGTTATGGTCGAGTATACAGGGTGCTTCATAAAAGTTTGGCGGAAATAACATATGTTTTTTTAAACGCAACATCCTATTTTTTATTTTATTTTTAGATTCTGCGTAAAATTATATAATTTTTTATGCATAATGTTATTTACCTAAAATTAATAGTTTTTGTAGTATTTCAATTTATTGAAACAAATGTTAGATTTCTCGATGTGGTAAAAAATTGTCAGCGATGCCATTGTTTTTGAAGTTGGATTACTAATTTGGGAGAAGAGTTTTATAGAGACGAAGAAAAAGATGTATGTAAAGATATTTTAGTTATATGTTACAAGGTGTTCACAATATATTTATGAATTTCAGCTACTTAAAATTAAAAGATCTCAATATTTTTAAATGGTACACCCTATATATAATACTTTTTTCTGATAGATTTTACAAAACTCTTCAACTTTTATTAAATATGTCATATATGTACGTATTTTTAAAAGTTTGTTATTTATTCCAATTTTTTGTATTTTTACCCATATTTTTAATACAATTACGCTATAACATCATAGTTACCATGACAAAAAATAATCATTATCAAAATTTGATATGCCTGTTAAGCAAGTTAAGAATAGAACTTGAATTATTTTAGTTTAACTTATTGTTATAAGTATAGACGGTCGAGATAATATTTACAGATTTTCCTGAAAACGAATTAGTCAGTGTGACCGATATACACGAACAAGCTAAGAAAAAAATATTCTTTTGTTTGGTACTATACAGGGTGTCCCAGAAATAAGTGCAAATATTTTAAGGGGTGGTAGATCTCGATAAAAAAAACATATTTTCTCTTTATCGTTTTTCAAATAAGTCCAAAATAACGGAGTTATTTTACTTTGAAAATTTCCAAAAAAAAATGATTTTTTGCTAAAATTTTGAGAACCACTGGATCTTTTCTGGATTTTCTTTCTTGTAAATTTAATCTAATACCTATGTTGCCATATTATCAAGAAATTATGTTTTTTAACTGAAAACTAAAAAAAATCCAAAAAATTTTTAAAAAAATTTCGAATTTTCAATTTTTTTTTTTTCGCGAAAAAACCTCATAGGCGTGTTTATGGGGTTGAACTATACTACCAGTTAAAATATTAAAATATTTGCACTTATTTCTGGGACACCCTGTATATTGCATAGTACTTTGCTAAGTTCTATAAGAATTAGATGTAGATTATCTAGAAAACTTGACGAAATAAATTATAAACCAGAATTGCTACGATCAATTCGTTTCTACGAAATTTCTATATCAATAGTTGTCAACAGCTAGATAATCTAGTATTACCCTAATCTATGGCTATTCGCGCTAAGGGAAAATCCAAGTATCATCTTTCATAATTATAGAAATACACGAAGAACTTCACGACTGTAATTTTAATTTAATCGAGTAAAGTTAATTAATATCAACTAATAATAATAAACATATCAATTGTCAACCCTAGTATAATTATTATCAATTTTGTTATAATATTTTTGTACAAAAATTAATAGGGATATCTCTACCCTCATTTCTTTTTTTTTCTTTACTCTTTCAAGGGTAAATACTTTTTTTGATAATAAATAATATCGATAGGATATATAATAATTTATTTAACATGAGTACATAAATATGCTGAAATTAATTTGCTTTGAATGGAGATACATAATCTTTAATCCATTTTTCCTTCAATATCTCGCTGACACTTATACCAAGCATTGCGTCGCTAGCTACCGTGTTACCGACGGGTATCTCATTCAGTATGCTCGAATCTGCGATTCGCAAACACCGCATTTGTTTCACCTCGAAATCGTTTTTAACCACCGAATATTTGTCGCATTCAGGCCCCCTAGCGGTTGTACCGGCAACATCTGATGTCGGATGCACCATATTTTTTATGTAACACTTGACATAATGCAACGAACAAAATTTGTAGCTTCTGCAATCTGGCAGTCCGATATCTATTAGTTCGGCTCCAATATCTTTTAGAGGAGCTGTTTCAGTGGCGTTCGTGACAAGGGTGAAACCGGTTAATAGGGAGCGCATATCTTCGTTTTCTTCGTCTTTCAAAAAATTTCCAACTATATTGGGACTACTCTGAAAATGAGTTTCGTTTAGAAGAATTTCTCCCCGAGATTTGGGCTGCATTAGTGTAACTAAAAAGAGTAAAATAGGTTGGTTTCTGTTCTTTTCCAGTAAGTTCGTAGATATTTTCTGTTCGAATTTCCAACCGTTCAGCCAAGCCGCTAACATTCTGTCTTGTATATGAAAATAGTTATGGTGTATGGCAATTGTAGGATCTGTTGGATGTTCAGCTGTAGAAGCATATAACGAGAAATCGTGTATTCCAATAGTGGACAAATTTCCTGATCTAACCATGATATAATCAAAAACGCTTCTGATAAATTCCAATTCCGAAGACTGGTTACTGTCAAACGTAGCATTTAAACTTACAAACATAGGTATTGTAACGTGCATTTGTAGGTTCTTTCCAACACCGGGTAGATCTAATATAACTGGAATTTTTCTGGTTAGTAAATAGTCTTTTGCTCCCATTCCACTCAAAAGCATAAGTTTGGCGTTGTTGATGGAACCGGCTGTAAGAATCAGCTCTTTGCGTGCCTGTAGAAATACTTTTTTGTCCGATATAGTAACGTTGACTCCTTTAACTCGTTTGTCTATGGGGTGATTGGTAACAATACTGTCGACGACTGTATTCTTGGCAAGAAAAAAGTTTGAACGGCTTTTAACCGAGGTGAGGAATGCTCGTGCCATATTTAGCCTGAAAATAGAAATAAAAAATATTACTTTTTAAAATATATTTATATTACATTTAAGATTTGGCTAATTTAACTATATCTCAGTAGACGAGAGTAATGACTTATAATAATAATAATGTAGTACGATTTCTGCCAATATAATTAGCGGAAATGATTGTTTTAACAATATTAACTCGCTTCAAAAAATATGCGCTTTTCATATTATCATGCAGGTTTCATCTGAATTATTGATTACTATTTTGCCTTTGTTATACCGGGTGCGTCTCAAAAGTGGCTCACCACTATAACTTTTTGATTTTGTTAGTTAAAAAAACGAGATTTGGTATGTTAGTATATGACATAAATTGGGATTGATTGACGTATTCAATTGTTTGCGGTCGCTTACTGTTTCACCGGAAATGACTACAACTTTTGATTTTTAAATAGCACCCTCGATATTTTTTTACTTTATTCGATAGGAAATATCAGTCTGAATAAAATGACAAATCATATGTCAACTTTTGACATTTTCGCATATGGTTTATTTGAAATTTTACTTTTATAGGGGTTCGTAACAAAAATTTGACTCGAAATACCAGGTGTGTGCGTCTGGTATCAAATTATTCATAAAAAAATGCTTTTTCCAAATATGCTAATGTGCCACCCTCGTTCCATTTGGAAAAAATGAGATATGATTAATTAAAAGTACGATTTGGGCATTTTTTAACCGGCCAGGACAAAAACATTTGACGATGAAATATATTTTTCCAAGGCTCCTTGATTAAGAATTAGTGTTTTTAATATAGCCATGACACTCTAGATTTAAATTTAAAATACAATTTTTTATTAAGCGAGAATATCAAAAGTTGACATATGATATGTCATTCTATTCAGACTGATATTTTCTATCGTATGAAGTAAAAAAATACGGAGGGTGCCATTTAAAAATCAAAAGTTGTAGTAATTTTCGTTGAAACAGGAAGTGATCAAAAAGAATTGAATACGTCAATCAATCCTAATTTATGTCATATACTAACATATCCAATTTCATTTTTTTATCAGAAAAAATAATAAAGTTATAGGGGTGGGCCACTTTTGAGACGCACCCGGTATAAGGTTCGGCAATAGTGCGTCAGGCATCTGTAGCTCCTAGAATAAAAAAAATGGGAATATTGTTTAAGTGCAAACCTAAAGTATGTACTAGGATGTATTCAAGGAAAATATTTGAACTTCTATAGGGTGGCCCAAAAAAGTATTAGTGGATCGAGATGATTTTTTTAAATTGGAACACCCTGTATATTACTGCATTTTTGGCTTTCTCTCTGATCACTTTACATAATCCTAAGATATTATTAAATATAGTTCGATAGTTTCAGAGATATTAACAAATAAATAAAAAAAAATATTTTTCTCAGCCTTTTTTAAAATAATTATTAAAAATAGAAAAAATGTCCTGAAATCAAAACTATACTAGGTATTTACTATAGTTGGTTTGTACTTACTTTCCTATAAATACCGTAATCTTAAACTATACAGGGTATTCAAAATTCTATGCCAAACTTTTTAATATATAAAATAGTTTTTCTTCGATATTTTAAATGGAATACCCTGTAAGGAGCATATCAAAAATCTTAGATCGACCGCGACGGGCTCCTAAAATGGCCGACTTTTAGGAGCCCGTCAAGCGAAATTTCGGTTTATCAATGCTGTTCTAATTTTATTCAAAACGTGTAAAAATATGATGTAGGGCAGACTCAATAATTTGTTGTTTTATTTTACGTTGTGAATAAATTTTGGCAGTTTATTAAAATTGTTATAAAAATATACATTTCTAATAAAAATACATAAGTTATAATAATTATTTATTAACACAAACATCCGATACGCTACTGAAGCAGGTAGGTCAAATTGACGTATCTAAATTCTTTGACATCTAATCTTTGACAAGTAGTAAATAAAACCAAAATTGCAAGAAAAAATATATAATTAGTTAATTTCAAGTGAATTTCATAATTTCAAGTGAATTTCATAAATGATCGGTTGACTATACGTACGAGCCCTAACAACTATATGTTGGAACAAGGTTATTTTGGAATTATTGTCCTGGTTTTTCAAAATGACTGAAAAATATATGTTTAATTTTTTAAATATAAACGGAGCCATATATCCTAAACAACTTGACAATATTTTTATGAATTTGTAAATCAATCCATATTTACAGTAGCGGATTTTGTTCATAAAAGGACAAATTTGCCTGACAACTAAATGTTGGGACAAGTATTTTTAAATAATTAATATCATCATAGGCGGCTTTGCTATAAACTGTTTACTTAAGCATTGACAGCTTGTTAGTGACTCGATACTTTGAGTAGTGAGACTTACAGTAAGTAATTTTATTTTTTTTTAATTTTCAATTTTGTTAATTTAATCCAAAGTAATGGTCCGTAGAAAAGCTACAAATCAAAAACTACGCGAAATTATCATTCGTCAATACAGTACGGGAAAAACAATTCGAAAAATTTCTGATGATTTAAGTATTCCAAAAACCACGGTCTTAAAAAAATATGGCGAATCTGCCAATGTAGGCGTTAGAGGTAAAAGTTCGGGAAGGCCAACAGTTGTATCTCAGAGAGATTTACGAAATTTAGTAAAAATTTGCAAGTCTGCGAGAAGAAGTACTCTTCGCGAAGTAACAGTTAAATGGAATACTGTAACTGGATTAAATATATCAAGAGAATGTTGCCGAAAATATATCCATAAATGCGGTCTGGGGTTTTACAAGGTAAACTTTATTTTGTGGGGATAATCAATTACCTGAAGATTATTGATACAAATTCTCATTTAGGCCAAAGAAAAACCGCTACTGACAGAAATTCAAAAGAAAAGTCGCTACAATTGGGCAAAATCTAAATTATCATGGACACAAAATGATTGGAATAAGGTCATATTTAGCGATGAGTCTAAATTTGATGTTTGCGTTGGAGATCATCGAAAAAGAATAATACGAAATAAAGCAGAAACCTTTCATAAAGATTGCTTAAAGAGGGTTGTTAAATTTCCTAAGGGGATTATGGTTTGGGGTTGCATGTCAGCAAAAGGTTTGGGCAAATTAAATTTTATAGATGGCACTGTTAACGCCCAAAAATATTAACATATACTTGAGACCTCACTTTTACCTAGTGCTCAAGAATTGTTTCCAAACGAAGACTATATTTTTCAATAAGATGGAGCATCGTGCCATTCAGCAAAATCAACTAAAAATTGGTTCGGTAATAATAATATAAAAGTTCTATCCCATCCTGCAAATAGTCCGGACATCAATGTTATAGAAACTGTGTGGCATAAAATGAAGCAATATTTAAGAAACCACCCTCAACGAACAATTTTTGATTTGCGGACAAAACTGCAGGAAATTTGGGATAATTTTTCTCCTCAAATGTGCCAATCTTTGGTAAATACAATGCCATTATGAGTTCAGGCAGATGTTAAGGCGAAATGTGATGTAACTCCGTATTAAACAAATTTCTTGTTGTGCTGTCCCAATATATAGTTGTCAGCAAATTTGGCTTGATTTTGGCAAAATAAGCTATTATCAAAAGTGATTTGTTTGCAAAGTTATAAAAATATAGTAAAATTGTCTAGATCATATTGTAATGTTTGAATTTAGAATAATAAACAAAATAAATTGAGTCGTTTTAACAAATTACTATTTTTATTGCAAAAAAAGACCTTGTCCCAACATATAGTTGTTAGGGCTCGTATAGTACTTACTAGCGAAAAGTTGTTCTATTATTTCCCTCGATTTTTGACCGAGATTTACCGCACGCTACACAACCAACCATTTTACAGTATTTTTCGATAAATCGCAATAGTGTCACTATTAGTTAAGTTCTGCTACAATTTCTTTCTAGATTTACTACACTCAAATTCAAATGTGTCAAATGAACCGTCAAACAGAACTGTCAAGGATCCCCATCCTAGAGTCCTCTTTCCGTCGACCATGCATGAATACATGGATAGCCTTATACTCCTTCCTTAATCTTTTTATTCAAAGATGCTGTTTTTTTTCAGCAAGCAGGAGATTTGAAATTTTGAAGGAAAAATTGCAAAATAATCTACTTTTCTTTCTAAATACTTAATAAAAAATATGTATAATACATTTTGTGGCTTACCTTTCTCCTTCTTTGATAGTCAAATAGTTCTCCAGTATTCCCAAAGGTGAGTTTTCCAACGCTTCATTAAAACTAAGTTTTTCATATGCCTCTCTTAGAACGGATCGAATTTCAGAACTTGAATTAATTTTCTCTAACTGAATATCGCCTTCGTATACATTTTCCCCCTCGGCATTGGGATAATATTCTATACTCTGGTATATTAAGTTTAACGAGTTCTCTAGACTGCGCTCTATAATTGATAATAAAATTTGATTAAGATTAATACATAATAATATTTCCTTTGAGACTTTGATGTATATATGTTACAGGAAATATCTGATTTCAGGCCGTTTTAGGTTGGCCCTAGGACATACTAAAACTTCCTTCGTTGTTAGAAACTTTGCAAATTTCCTAATCCATACTAGTATGGCCTGACATGTGTTAGGATAAGTCTAAATAAATTGTGTTGTAATACTTCAAGCTTAAAAATGTTTACTAGAAGACCTTGCAATCGGACATTGTTCTTTTTAGAACCTCTTTTAGTGCGAAGTGTACAAGATAGCTTAATAGCCGTAAAAAAACGCATCGCAACTTTATTAGAATATTTTGAATGGCAAAGCGGTAGCAATGGCCCTTTATGTCCCTTAAGTACTATTAAGGAGGTGAGTTTTGTTGATGTAAATAATAACTGTTTATACAGGGTTGTTCACCACATACGACACGGAATATTATAGCTAAACGATTAGATTTTTACCAGTTGTAAGTTTTGGGTTCGTTAAAGGTGTATTAGAGCTAAATAAGTAAAAAATATTATACGAGGCATGTTTTTTAAGTAAGTACCGTTTTGGAATTAAAAAAAACGTGCAAAGATATCGTTAATAATTTTATTTTTACATGAAAGCCTGTACCTTAATCTAATTTTTCTACATAATTTCCGTGAATATTGAGGCACTTGTCATAACGTGGCACCAGTTTTTAATACCCTCCTCATAAAATTCTGCCGCCTGACTGGTTAACCACTGTATCACAACTGTTTTGACTTCGTTATCGTCTTGAAGACGCTGACCGCCCAGGTGTTTCTTCAAGTGCAGGAATAAATGGTAGTCACTGGGCGCCAGATCAGGGGCTGTATGGAGGATGATCTAGAGTTTCCCATTTAAAAGATTTAATGAGATCTTTGGTTCCGATTAGCCACATGTGGACGGGCATTGTCATGCAGCAAAACAATACCCTTACTCAACTTGCCACGTCTTTGTTTTTGGATTGCACGGCGCAGATTGTTCAATGTCTCACAATAAGATGCTGCATTGATTGTCTCATTACGAGGCAGAAACTCCACTAGCAATACTCCTTTTCTGTCCCAAAAACTGTGCACATGATTTTCCGGGCAGAAATTGTTTGCTTAAACTTCACTGTTTTGGGTGATGATGAATGTCGCACTGTTGTTTCGATTCTGGTGTGACGTTAGGTCACCCATGTTTCGTTACCAGTAACAATTTTGTCTAAAAAATCTTCACCTTCATTGTGGTACTGCTCAAGGAAAGTCAATGCACTGCCTAAACGTTGGGTTTTGTGCAAATCCGTCAACATTTTCGGAACCCAACGTGAACACAATTTCCGGTAATTCATGTTCTCGGTCACAATGCGATACAAAACACTACGAGAACATTGAGGAAAGTAGTCGCACAATGATGAAGTTGTAAAGCGTCTGTTTTCTTTCACCTTTTCGTCCACTTTCTGCACCAAATCTTCACTAACGACCGAAGGACGCCCACTCCGTTCTTCATCGTGCACATTTGTTGCGGCCATCTTTAAATGTTCTCGCCCATTTCCTTACCATTCCATCACTCATAATGTTTTGTCCGTAAACTTCACAGATCTCACGATGAATATCGATCGGTTTTACGCCTTTAGCACTAAGAAATCGTATGACAGCCCGTACTTCACAATCGGCGGGGCTCACGATTGTCGGAGGCATCTTAAACACTCAATAAAACAACGTATACAATGAAGAATCAGGCTGTACTGGCGTCTGTGCATAGACAAGAGATGTAGGTAACCAGCGCGCATGCGCGGAACCGTAGCGCTGCGGCGGCGGATCGCAAACGGTACTTACTTAAAAAACATGCCTCGTAGTTGTATTTTTTAAATGGAACACCTTGTATATTATTCTATTTTTTAGATTCTACGGTTGAAATAAAGGTAAATTTGATTAAGGTTTATCACACTTAAACCTTACCGTTTTTGAAATATTTTCAAATTTTATGAAATTGCAGTAAAAAAAATAAGGCTTTATTTCTCCAAGGGTATCAAAGTTTTTTAATACTAAATATTTACTGAAGATTATTTATTGATCAGATATTGTGTTGCAATAATAAAAATTTTACTACCTTATACAGAGTGTCCAAAATTTATATTAAATAATTACTAGTTTTAAACGGCAATAACTTGTTTAATTTAAATGGAACACCCTATATATTTTACGTGAATCAGATGCACAATGTAATTGTCTGTCAAATTGTATTCTTCCATTTTTACCCATCTCTTCAAGTTTTCATAGAAAATGCATTTTCTTATAATTTAGACCTCATTTATCACTATACCTATGGAATATTGACATTTTAGCTTATTTTTAACAATGTAACAAATTTTTAAAGGGTACAGATACTAATATTGTCGATATAGTTCGCTTATTTAATTAAAAAAAATAAAAATAAAACTGTTTAAATATTTTTTGTTAAAAAGGACCAATTAATATGATCCCAGTATTCAAACTACATTAAATTGACTGTTTACGTTAAAGCAATAACTGTTCCAAATACTAAAAACTGAATTTTGTGTGTGTATTAGACAGTGTGGTAAATAGTAACACCTTATAAATTTTATTTCATTTATTGACGAATGCTTATTTATAAAAAACAGAGACATTCATTTTCATAACTTATTATTATATAGATTTCTGAGCCAAATCCACATTTATTTAGAATAATTTATTAATTAAAACATTTTTTGTAAGAAATAATGGTGGTATATTTAATTGGTATACTCTTTTACAAAGATTTAAATAGTTTTTTGTATGCCAATGGGCTTGCAAAAAATGCTTGCTTAAATTAAACAAGTTATTGCCGTTTAAAGCTAGTCATTATTTAATATAAATTATTCCATGGGTATAGTGATAAATGAGGTCTAAATTATAAGAAAATGCATTTTCTACGAAAACTTCAAGAGATGGGTGAAAAATGGTATAATACAATTTGATAGACAATTACATTGTGCATCTGATTCACGTAAAATATATAGGGTGTTCCGTTTAAATTAAACAAGTTATTGCCGTTTAAAGCTAGTCATTATTTAATATAAATTTTTGGACACTCTGTAAAAGGTAGTAAAATTTTTATTATTGCACCACAATATCTGATCAATAAATAATCTTCAGTAAATATTTAGTATTAAAAACTTTGATACCCTGGGAGAAATAAAGCCTTAAAACTTTTACTGCAATTTCATAAAATTGAAAATATTTCAAAAACGGTAAAGTTTAAGTGTGATAAACCTTAATCAAATTTACCTTTATTTCAATTGTAGAATCCAAAAATAGAATAATATACAGGGTGTTCCATTTAAAAAAATACAACTATAATATTTTTTACTTATTTGGGACACTCTGTATCTTGTAAAAATATTTTTAAATTGTAGCTCTACGATTTTTAAATTGTAGCTCTCTGAACCTTCAACGAACCCAAAACTTACAATTTGTAAAAATCTAATCGTTTAGCTACAATACTCCGTGTCGTATGTGGTGAACAACCCTGTACATATATTTATAATTAATTTATTTTTGTTTCCTAAAATATTTTTATTAAAAGAAAATATATAAAAGTGGGTTAATCACGGGACTAAAAGTTTATTTGGTATGAACTGTAAATTTATAATCTCGTATTTTACAATACTCACTTGGCGTCATTATTTTATTATTTAAATTACAAAATGGTCTTTCGGGTACAATTTTTGCCATAAATCTTTCCAATCTGATAGTTTCTTATTTCAGTCTCTTTTTTATAGTTTTATTTAATCCTGTATTTATTTGTTTTAGGTATGGTACTTATTATTCGAAGTCAACGCAAACAAAGGTAGGAGATAAAATTATATTCATAACATTGTTCAAATAGCTGAATTGAATGAAGATCAGCTATTGCTCTATGCATGTTAATGTTAATGTGCGATAAAAAGTGAAATTACAAATTTTTCTTTATCGTTTTTTGTTTATTTTAATTTGACTCTGGCAGTTCAGGTAAAACCTTACAGCTCCGATATTTAAAGATTTTAGTAGACGCACACAGAAAGAACAAGGCAGTTTTAGTCAAAAACGTTTTTGATTAAAACTGTCTTCATGGGATGGCTCGACGCAAATTAAATGAGCCAACGCATACTAATTTACAATCGTGAGATTTAAGACTCAAAATTTAAAAATCAAAAGTTGTAGTCATTCCCGGTGAAATAGGATGCGACCGAAAACAATTGAACATGTCAATTAATCCTAATTTATGTCATAGATTAACACACCAAATCTCGTTTCTTTATCTGCCAAAATAAAAAAGATATAGGGTTGGGCCACTTTTGAGAAACATGTGGTATATTCGTGTTCGTAGAATTAGAATTTTAGTTTGTCCCACTTTAACAAACTATAACTTTTTCATAATTTAAGAAAGGTATACAATAAGCTAACAATGTACATTTTACAGTCATGTAAGATTTAAGAAATTTTTAAGCTCTATGGGTATGGGTACTATACCTCGATAATAATGTAAATTGTTAATGGAACTGGTACCGCCAAGAACTCTCCCTCTAAACATCGAACATTGTTTATTTTTGTATGCTCGACAAGTTTCCTTGTCTTTTTCTAACCGATATTGCCATGTATCTAAGGCCGATTCAAAAAATGTGGGAAAAAGTGCCGGCACCTGAAAAAAAGAATCTGAATCAAGAACGTGAATTTTGGCGAACTTATAAACTTTAAAATTCATATAACTCAAAACATACTATATTTTTGTACTTACAACATTTGTGAACTCAGTGAACTAGACCATCGATATACAGAGTGGTATATTTTGACCCGAGAAATGCGTCTGTGAGGTTTTTTCGCGAAATAATGTTTTTTTCTTTTGTGTTGGAAAAAAAATACATTTTTTTAATTTTTAGTTAAAAAGATATTAAAAATACGACAACAGAGATAAATAATCGTCGGTGAAACGTGATAAACTGCTAACTCCATTATTCCTAATTTTAAGAAATAAAAATATACTTCTGGAGATAGCAAGCTTTATTGTTTTAAATTTTGAAAATGGAAATGAATATTACCCAAACAGATTTAGAAATAATCAATTAAATTTACAAAATATGATATTCATAACCATATATTTATAATATCGTCGGCCTAGAAGCAAAACATACAAGTCCAAAAACGAATAAATTTTTAATGAAAATTTAAAAAAAATTGCATTTTTAAAGAACTGAAGTAGCAGAATTTTGGACTTAATGAATATGAAAATAATTTAAAAATTAAACTTATAATTCTTAGAAGATATGGTAGAATCCTTCCATGCTTATCCTAATTTTTATACAACGGTAATAGACCGAGCTTGGAAGACAGTGCGTGATTTTATTAAATTTTTATTACTTTTCTCCTTATTTTTTTAATTTTTATAAAAATTATGTATCATTTACGTGAAAAAACGTTGAAAAAAATTAAACTGATTAGGTATTATGGAAATTCTTGTACAAGTAAGTAATGTTATTTAAACTATTTATAGCACGCCGATGAATTGCTCGTATATAGAATTTCGTGTTTCCCCTTACCTTACTTTACGGATACCCCGTATTTACAGAACGGATCGACACAGGGTCGGCCTGGCCATATTATATAGATATCTATTAGGGGGGCCCAGCCTTCGAGAGCCCCCTTTATAGTTCATTATTTATTCTTAACAATATTTGCTTTTGCATTGCATTATGGAATTTGCATTGCATTGATATACCTTGCATTAGGGTAGTTCCCTGATTTCTATACAGGGTGAGTCTTAAATAAGTGCAAATATGTTCAGGGCTGGTAAATCTCGATAAAAGAAACAAAATATTTTCTCTTCACCGTTTTTTCAAATAAATCCAAAACAACCCAGTTATTTCACTTTTAAAATTTCCAATTTTTTGCTATAATTTTGAGAATAATTGGATTTTCTTTCTTGTAAATTTAATCTACTATCTATGTTACCATATTACAAACAAAGTATGTTTTTAAACTAAAAATTAAAAAAAAATCCATTTTTTTTAAATTCCAAATTTTCAAAAAAAAAAATTCGCGCAAAAGAACTCATAATCGTGTTTCTTGGGTCGAAATATACTACCCTAAACTTATTTAAGACTAACCCTGTATATAATAGGGAAAAATTGAACAAGACGTAAGGCGAAAAAATACGCAAAAAAACACACGGGCCCCTCCTTACATTGCCACCCGGGCCCCTTTGGCCTAGTGCGACCCTGGAGCGACGTACTTTACTAAAAAAACATACGACTAAGAATCTGCGTGTTTGCTTTAGCGTGAACGTAACGGAAATTATGGAGATAGCAGCATTTCGGTGGCTATTTCAGATCACTAGGAGTTAGCAGATATTATTGAGTTAAAATAAAAAATGTTCTTTAATGGGAAAAAAATGTGTTTGCTTTGGTATTAGAAGATATGATATTATATGCCATAGCTTTGCTAATGGTATAAAAAAACTTATTAACGTAAAAAATGGAGTTAGCAGGTTATCACGTTTCACTGACGATATTTAAAAAGACTGGACCATGCAAGACCAAGGCCACTACTACTTATTAGACTGCAAGAACAAGACGTCTTAGTGTTTCATTTGCCAATCACTGATTTCCAATCCCGCTTTGATGCAGGTTTTTTCGATTGTATGGTATACTTACTAACCAAAAAAAATAAGAATATTACCGCTGTTGTTGTCTCAGGTATGTCTCCTGCCTCTATTAACAATACACTCCATTGATCTTGTTGCGAGAGTCGGTTTGCTAAGGCACATCCAGCCGCACCAGCTCCGACAATTATAAAATCAAATGTCGTCTCTTCGCCCTGTCGATTTCAAAATTATCTTATAAATTATACTATCTAACACCTCAGTGAGACCGCCCACCAAAGTGACGTAGCATCTGGCGTGACACGTAATCTGGCAAGTAACATGCATCTAGCAAGTTACATCGAATTGAACAAACGACAATAAGTGTCAGCGCACACGGAAATAGCGCTGTCAGAAACGCGTCATTTGTCATTGTAGCATGCCATGCCACTGCTTCAAAACTAGAACTGGTTCTACTTTTCGCCACGTGCTATTAACACGTTACTCGAATTTGGCAAAAATGAAGGACGATCCGGACTTCAATATACGTTTTGTATCACTGACTAAACCACGCATTTATGACCACACTCGTGCCGATTATTCCAACAGGAATAAACAAAACTTGGCATGGGAACCACTTTTCTAACTTGCACATCAAAGGTTTCTTTTTTTATTCTATAAAATGCTTAAAATCTTTCAGGATAGATATTCAATTCCTTAAAAACACTAAATCCACTGTTCCCTTGTCTCTTTTTGCAAAACGGGTGTATCCAATAGCAACGCTTTGGATAATTTTGGTTCATATTAATTAGGTTTACAACTGCTAACAAATCTTCATCCTCTGAGGACGACATGTTTACGCCACTGCCACATCGCTTATATGCGCGCTTCCTGAAAAATCATGCAACGCTATTGCCATGTATGTACAACGTCATATGCTACATCACTTTGGTGGGCGCTCTCACTAACACTATATTTAATGTAGCAGAATAATGTTACCGTTACTTAAGCCCAAATACGTCAAACAATTCATAAAGCTTCATTCAAAACTTCAAAATTAGTAGTTTTAATTAGCGCAAAGGTGTGTGTCCCTCTAATTTCAATGTAAGGATTCAGAACGTTAAAATTAGCTGTAGTACTTTTCAATAAGTAGAAAAAGTTAACAAACTTTCAACTTTTTCTACTAATTGTAATTGAAAAAGCTAGTGCGCATGTGTGAGTTCATCATGTGATCTCATTTTAGCCTTTTATAAGGTTTGTTCTAACACAGAAATTTGTATCGTTCTAGAACGGTAATGGGACGATCCCAAACGTTCTGGAATTTTCGATATTGGGTTAGTACCAATATCGTATTTTCGATATTGGGTAGTTCTATTAGTATACCAAAATTTAATGCGGGTTGGAACGGTTTTTGAAGTGATTTTAGAATCGATTTTTCATTGGAATTCACAATTAAAAGAGTACGGGAGAGAAAACCTTGATCGCTATTCCAAAATATTCAACTATGATGTTCTTAAGTTTAAGAAAAGAGTAATAATAATAAACTAAATACTGTCCTCATACCAAGATTTGAAGTTTAACACACTTAAAACATTCATAACTGAAGAGGTTTTGTTAGTTAGCAGCTTCCTGGATTTGGGAGCCTACTCAGCTAGAGTTGATATGATTGGTGCTAATATCTTTAGACTATGAGTTTTTATTGGTTTTGACTGATCATTTGTGTGCTAAGATATTCGCCCAGGCACAGTTGGAAAATTTATTAGTATAATTTAAATTAGTTCACTCAACAAGGCCCTAATTGCCACACTAAATCGTACTGAACCAAAAACATCGGCACGAATGGACGATTGTCGTGTAGATTCAATTTTAAACTAGAAATTATTTACAGCGTAACTCAAAACCATTACATACATACACATGTTATACAATATAATTCTCAGATGAAATGAATCAAAAAAGATTTAGCACAGAATATTTCAACAGAAAAATAAAATAATATGCTTATTTAACACAGTTAAACAATAAGAAAACGTTTACTTTACCTTTAATAACTTCCTTTGTCACATTAACCAAGATTTACAAACTAAATAGTAGTCTAAAAATTATTACTTAACATCTATTATCGCTGTTATTTTTCTGATTTCCCTCTCCCTAGTTTGCGAATAATATTTTAAAAATCAATAAATTTTATTTATCTTTACAGAGTGTCTTAAAAATGAATGTTTTGAATTTAAAGAAATGTGTTTATTTTTAAATAGGCGGTTCATTTCACAATTTTGTATTTTTTTGGATTTGTTTACGGATTATTGAATTTACTTGTTTTTTAGTTAATACAAAATCACCTTTGCTTTATTTATCAAAACTCACAAATCATCTTCAGTGGTATCGACATAATCATTATTACTGTCCTCTTCGTTACTGATCATATTCCAAAAATATTTATTTAAAATATGTATAAAAATGATAAATACCAAAGAAAACTTGAGGAATCAGCAAATTAAAAACAGAAAATAGCCAAAGAAATAAAAGAAAATCAATAATCAGCTGACACACAGTCTTAATACGCATGTTCGTTCTTTTGATTCTTGCTTTAAGACTGGTATCGAAATCACCGTTCCGAATACAATTCATTAACAGTTACAAGCAATGACTAAAGAATCCAAGGACAAATAACACCCGAGAGCAAATTGTTACAATGTCACCAAACAGTGCCGTGGCACATATTTTTCTTAACTTAGCTGTTTGAAGAGATATTTATATTTTTTGATAAATGTTTTAACTACGCCTATGGTGTATACGGTTGTATCATACTAATTAATTACGAAAAAAACGTATTAAAATATTAACAAAAGGTACAAAACTAGTATCGACATATAGCACACATCAAGTACATAATATAATATCAGAAAAATTATTAACGAATTCGATAAGAAAACGCAAAAAAGGTGGAGCGGACTGTTTATTTACCTATGATGCAACGTAACTCCTGGCTCTTTCTTATCGTTGCGGCTTTTACACTTGAAAGCTGAACAACTAATCACCATTGTAACAAAGTTTATACAAATTTCACTACACACAAACTATTAAAAATCGCTAAAATTGTCGCTGGTGATCAGCTGACTCATTCGTTGCCATAAAAAAAATGGCGTCTAATGTCACAAATTCTGCTGCAGCCCGTATATGGGCGTTACATGTCCTTAAATTCTTTAGTTATTGGTTACAATTCTGGTTGGAACGCAAAAGTTCGCTAAACGATTCTCTCGTTGATGGAACGCATTTTCTCTACTGCGTATTAAGAACGGTTCTCTGCTATGTTGGAACAAACCTATTATGTCTATATTGTTACCTAAAATGTGGAGATAAAGGGGTTTTCAATTATTTTAATTTTACTTACATCTAGCAGCTTCGATGAGGCATCCGCCGGGTATTGAGTATAGTCTCCTATAAGTTTTATGTTGAAAAATAAGGCATTTATCAGTATCAAGAAGGCATTAGCAAATGCGCCTCTGAGGTGTGTTATATCGTACGTAATTATACCCGTTGGCATTATCTTACTTTGTATTAGATACAGTAATTTTTTTCAAATTTATAATAAATGTAACATTCAATTTTGGGGTGACAGATTGTCATATTATATACTTAGATGATTAAACTGAATAGACACGGTAGTAAGCATTTTTTTAAGTAGATTATTAAATTTTTAGTTCTTAATATGATCTGATTGCTGTTTTTATAGGTCTTCCATTTGTTTAAATGTAATTTTGCAGTAAAGTTGGAATCTCATGTTCCGATTTCCTACGACACGATGATATGGCTAGGAGTTTTACTAGTTGATAAAATAATTAGAAAACGTAGGTATAAGTTTGCGATTTCTGCAAATTCGACTTTTGGACAAGTGGAGAAAGATATGTCAAAATATTTTTCAATAACGTTTGATAAAGCGCTATATCCCGTGGTTTAAAAAGAATTTTTAACCTTGTGTATAGTGCTAACTTTGAATAAGAAGACTAAGGAAGGAGCATATCAAAAATCTTAGGTACACCGCGATAGGCCTAAAATATGGCCGACTTAAATTCCGGTTTATCAGTGTCGTTCTAATTTTATTTAAAAAATGTAAAACTATGATGTAGGGTAGACGTGGGGTAGACTCAATAATTTGTTGTTTTATGTTACGTTGTGAATAAATGTTGGTAGTTATTAAAATTGTTATAAAAATATATAATTCTAATAAAAATAGATAAGTTATAATAAGTATTTATTAACACAAACATCCGATACGCTACTGAAGCAGGTAAGTCAAAGTAACGTATCTAAATTCTTTGACATCTAATCTTTGACAAGTAATAAATAAAAGCTAAAATGCAAGAAAAATATATAATTTAGTTAATTTAAGTGAATTTCATAAATGATCGGTTTACTATACGTATGTATATTATATAGTCACTTAGTAGCGAAAAGTTGTTCCATTATTTCACTCAATTTTTGCCGAGATCTACCGCACGCTACACAACCAACTATTTTAGAATCTTTTTCGATAAATCGCGATAGTGTTAATTAAAACAATTCAACAAAATTCAACAAAATGTTAATTAATAATTAAGTAGTGTTAACACTGTTAATTTAAGTTCTGCCACAATTTCCATCTAGATTTACTACCTTTATACAACTATCAGTAGTAGAATAAATAATAAATAACATAAAATAAGCTCCGTAAAGACTGACAAATCCACAAAATTTCAAATCAAATTCAAATGTGTCAAATGAATCGTCAAACAGAACTGTCAAGGATCCCCACCCTAGAGTGCTTTTATGGCGCTTTTTCCGCCCACCATGCATGAATACATGGATAGCATTATGCTCCTTCCTTAGTCTTCTTATTCAAAGAGTGCTAATAATAAGTTACAAGAATTATTAAGTAATCCTAAAGATAAACATTGGCGTAACTACAGGGGTGCCCGGGGGTACCGCCCCCCCCCCCAGGTACTGCTGGGCATCCCCCAGAGAAATCCTGAATTATGACTTTTGGTTACCTATTAATTTTTATTTGCTTGTGATGCAGTAAAAATGACGTTTTCTAGTTTTGTTTAGTTAATATTATTTTCTTGTGTTCAAAAAATGTGTTAATTTTTAATTTTTTTTAGAAAATTTGTAGGTGTTTAATTATTCTGCGAGAACACGGCTTGATAACGAAGTCTGTGAAATTTATTGATAGATAAATTCATGTAAATAAACGTTTTATTCAAAAAATGTGTTTTTTAAAATAATTTTTCATTTTTAAAAAAACAAAAGCCCTAGGCCCCTCCCTGCGCTCAGCACCAGGTCCACCCCTAAGGTCCACCCCAGGATAAATTGCTAGTTACACTAATGAAGATAAAACACCTCCACTGTAAAGGTCGGGTATTTATGAAATTTCATGTAAAGATTGTAATCAGAAATATGTTATGCAAAGTAGAAGATCAATATTAACTAGATTTAAAGAACGTGGCTTAGATAAGATATGGCAAACTGTGAATATTTTTGAACTGGTGATACCTACTGTGTGAATATTTTTGAAAAAGTATTTATTTATATATTTATTTTAACTTTAGTAGGTAAATCTATTATTAGACGAAAATTCAAATGATTTGTTAACATTATATAACGCGTGAGGTTATATATGGTGCGTAACAAGTTTATCTTTTAGAAGACAATTATTATCAAATAAAAGAAAGTTATGTTGTTTGGAAATGACTAGTCAGTATATTTATTGAATATAATTATAGTTTAACCGAGAATTTATTGATGATGTGGTTATCTTACACAATTGAAGAAACGTTAATGTGAAATGGAATTACTTTAAAGTTTTTTTTTATGACTGAAGGGTGCTGCTGACGTAATAATGTGACTTAAAAATCGCATTTTTCTCGACATATTTCAAAAATGGCTCGCACTAGAAAATTGAAATTTGGTGTGTGTATGACACAAAATTCTTAATGTTTCAGAAGGATATCTTCGTCAGAAACAACAAATAAAAAGAAAAAACAAATTACTATTTAAAATGTTTAAATAAAGGGTCGCTAATATGTATGGGAACGGTCGATTATTAGGTAAAATATAAGAGATAAGATTCATTTTTTAAATGGAACCCCCTGTATATTATTGCATATTTCGGTTCTTCCTTCAATTCTAAGCAAAAATCGAGATACACACAATGTACCTCAAACCAACCGTTTCCGAGTTATTGACTTTTGAAAATATTACTTAAACAATTCGATTTAATTAATTTCGATGTATTCGGTTTCATATAACGATGCCATTCTGCGGAAACTATGATACATATTAATATTTAACATTAGTTTACAAGTTAGCATTTATACAGGGTGACAATTTGAAAACGAACAGTAGGTATTTAATATTACATCTACCGATGATAGTATGAAAATTTGGCGAAATACGTCAATTTACATATCAAGGGGGACAATTTTTGAGGCATTTGTTGTCGTGTTACTTTCAACCCTTTGACCTCCAGGGCACCTAACCCTAAAATTTTAAATGGCAACCCCTATTTCTTTTACCATTTTTGTGTTCCTTATAAAATTCTCAAAAAAATAATGCCGTTTATGTAGAATTCTATAAGAAACACAAAAATGATAAAAGAAGTAGGGGTTGTGCTATTTAAAACTTCAGAGGTAGGTGCCCTGGGGGTCAAGGGGTTGAAAGTAACCCGGCAGCAAATGCCTCAAAAATTGTCCCCCTTGATATGCAAATTGACGTGTTTCGTCAAATTTTCATACTATCATCGGTAGAGGCAATATTAAATACTGCTCGTTTTCAAATTGAGACAAATTGTCACCCTGTAGATATATAAAATGAGATTATATCAAGTCTGGAAATTACAAAATTTTTGTTGAACATTTGAAAATCAAAACTTTATAATTCGGAAATTAGGTACATAATCGTAATACACATAATATAATCGGAACACACATAAAGCCCTCCATAAAAAATAGATACAGTTTTTATGAAATTAGTTAAAAACGGCTTCTTCAAAAATGTTCAAATTTGGCATGTTTGCATGCGTAGACGTTTAAAAAAACTATTTGCGATTTCGCTGTGAAATCAACATGACATCCAATATTTGGACAGTTCAAAATTTGCAGGAGATTTTCTGTTTCCAACACCACTACACGACCTGGTATGGTTTGTGCTTTTGTATTAAATAATCATAATAATCGTATAATCAGTCTACTGCAACTTTACAACAAAAATATGCATTACTATAAATCGAGCACGTAGACCATCTTTTACGTCATATTATTTACGTTCACCGCTTTCACTTTCTTTTCTTGGATCTGTTCGCCAAACCGAATTTCAAGAATACCGGTCTGCCTTGAGCTGGCATGTGATTATTGGCAGGTGTCCTAGATTGGTCTGTTTTGGTTTTAAAGTTGAGACAAAATGTTACATAAAGTTAGATAAATTTTTATGCCTTGGTTATGTCGATTTATTACTGTTTACCTATATTCAGGGTTTCATGTTCTAGCAACTGGTTTATTAAAGGTTTTTTGGGATCCTAATTTAGATTCAAACTTGAATTTTAATTTTAAAGGTATTTACAGGTGTAGTTTAAGCTAGCTAAGGAAACATGGTCTATTGTGAATGAGTTGAGAAACAAAGCTTCTTCGTCTAGCAATATCTCTACCTCGCCTGAGAACCTTAACGATTACTTTGTAAATGTAGCGAAAAACTTAACTAATACCATATGTCCTCCTCATGATCCACTTTCTTATCTCTCTAATGATAATGTAAACTTACACAGTTTCTTTTTTTCGCCCGTGGTTCTTGAAGAGCTTCGCAGTACAATTAATACCATCAAAAATAAATCCTCTTCTGGGACCGACGGGCTAACTTTAAAAATGTTTTCGAATCTGCCAGAAAGCACTCTGAATCACCTAACAACTTTAATAAACATGTCGTTCCAAAATGGTATTTTTCCAAAATGTCTTAAGACGGCAATAATCATTCCTCTGCACAAAGGAGGAGACAAAGATGAAGCTTCTAACTATCGCCCAATTGCACTCCTTCCAACGCTATCTAAGATCATAGAAAGGTTGGTTAAAAGAAGGCTGGTATCTTTTCTGTTTAAGTACAAAATACTTACTGAATATCAATTTGGATTTCTAAGCAACAAGTCCACAAATGACGCTATGTTTTCCTCCTTAATAAAGTTTACTCCAGCCTAAACAACCATCATTCTACAGCAACAATTTTCTGTGATTTTTCTAAGGCGTTCGATTGTGTAAGTCATAAGATCCTAATTAATAAACTGCAGCACTATGGGTTCAGGGGATCATCTCTCGAATGGTTTTAGTCGTATCTGAGCAACAGAAGTCAACTTGTGAGGGTGGATACCACGTTGTCTTCTAGCAAGCCAATAGAATGTGGAGTACCACAAGGCTCAGTACTAGGCCCTATTTTGTTTCTTCTTTTATTAACGACATTGCTAACATAAACATCAGTGGCAAAATATGTCTTTTTGCGGACGACACTAGCTTCACTTACAACAACTCACACAGTAGCAACAAGGACATCACGGCACTTCATAGGGTTATATGAAATGACTTAATCACCATTAAATTTTGGTGCG